TGCACATGGACATGCTGTACATTCCATTCATGAACGAGTGACATCTGTACCCCCGCGACGAAGACATCCAAGCTCAATCCCAAGCTCAATCGGAACCTCATAGAGCAAGCTAAAATGGAACCCTCAGTCTTCTCACATTGACGCTGCTGTCCTTTTCATCTCTCATTTCCGCACATCATGTCCTTCAGTCGCGAAAATGGAACAGGCCTTTCTTTGTTTTGCCGTTCCCAAAACACTTGCAGCTGCAACGGAAGCCTGAGAAAGAGGTGTAGAAGGATCGTCGCTCATTGAAACTCGGCATGATGGCTGCTTGTATCTTCCATTAATCCAGTGGAGTCAAAAACATAAGCTTTTTTTGCGCGGAGCCTCTCACCAGACAGTGACCAGCGAACTGACTTGTGATCGAAAAAACGTATGACAAAAGAATCGTGAGGAGGGTTATGACATGAACTCGACCTGGTGATCTCGTCTTGTTCAAAGCTCACACCTGTGATCTGATCGCAGACTGAAGGCACATGCACGCTTGAACCTTAACCCTGAACCCTAAGCCAGGCCACTTGCATGCCCTTGGCTCCAATTTTCCTTTGGTTCCACCAAGCTGCAGTGCTTTGAGATGCGGCCTTCCATGGGAAGCTTGAAGGTGGGGGCCTTACCGAGGTTTAGGATTTAGGTTTTACGATTCAGGGCTTGGTCTCTAAATTTGATTTCCAGTGAGACTCAAGTTTGGGTTGTTTTTAGGTTTTCAGGTTGCGAGGATTCTTGTGCTCAGGGTCCAAAGCTTCAGGAGTCTTGTGGAGCTTTAAGTATAGAATGCTTCGTGGGCTTTCGGAAGTAGTTCAGGTGTATCGCAGTGGACTGGGCCCTAAGATCTGGACCCCAAATACTGGATGCTGAATCCCCAAACCGACCTACCATGACACAGGACGTCGCGAAGTGACAGTGAATTGGCGTTCATGGGTGCAGCACCTGAAAGGAACACAGAATTGTCTCTTGAAGGGGTTCTGAATACCCTGAACTCCAAGTTTCCTGAATGCTTCGACACGATGTTGAATCCCGAAATCGAACATGGAAAAGTCGGTGCGTGTGGTGACGAACAACATGGACTGGCTGCAGTTGCCATTTGCTGCAGGATGCAATTGCACGCCTGCTTCTTGCACAAAACTTCCAAAGCTTATAGGTTCTCACGATCACTATCTCGCAGGAACGGCTGTTCCAGGCTAGGCTGCTCAGCTGGGGCATCTAGGATTTCGAAAGACATCTCAAAGCAATCCGTCATCACCACGCAGCTGATGCACAACTCAGCTTGCATCTAAGACCACACGAGTGGAGTTGTCAAAACTGTTCGTGCTTGGTTTGTTCTCTCCACAATGCTTATGCAATAGTACTTTCAATGCCAAAAGCGTTATGAGCTTTGCATCCGCCAAGCACTCTGTCTGTTTCTGCTGCTGTGGATGACACCACGGTGATAGCTGCCGTACCGTTGGCTGCTGCTTCCCGACCTACGCGTTACCACCTGAATTCTCATAGACTCCAAACAAGACATACTGTAACCCGGCCTTTACCCCCCGACCTCAAAGTAACCTTCCAAACCCGACAGCCTATGTCTTAAACAAAGCCAAAAAGCTGACCCAAAACCTCCTGAAAAGCAGACTACTCTCTCCAAGATAGTGACTGGGCATCACTAGCATAATAGCATATCCATGTTCATGCTCATAGGGGACGTGTTGCACGAAATCGTCAGAATATGCCCAAACACCAACAGAATCCTGAATATGCTACGAATCCCTTTAAAGAACAAGGAGTGCAACGCGGATAAGGACAGCGTCATCATCTGCAATGGCAACAGCCACATTTGTCAACAGTCACAAGGTGTAAAGCAAAAGGCAAGCAAGGCAGATGCTTCAAAAATTCGCAAAACCCTGACCTTGGGGTAGCGAATGTACTGTCAACATGAAGACTCGCAGCTTGATCACAGTGTGGGGAAACGAAGTCCAGACGTAAGGCTTAAGGGTTTACGGTTGAGCATGCTGCCACCTTGATCAACCCGACAGTTCGCGATGCCCCAGTGAGCCACTCCAAGAAAACTAGGGACCTGTCTGTCAAGTCTTCCAAGACCAAGCAACCCAAAACCCAAAACAAAATGCCTGAAATCACCCAGGGTTCGGCATGTGCCGGCTGTGGCCTGGGCACAATCAAGGTTCCAAGTTGTGGGCTTAGAGGTCGGCGTTTGTGGTAGCCACGTACTATATGCCCGTTTATGGTTTAAGGAATTCAACTTGTTTGAAGCTCGCGTTTGGACTAGCGCGCAAGTCAAACACGAAATGAGGTCCATCCTAGCACGTCTCGTGCCGCCAGAGGCCTGCTTCTAAATGGGCCTCCCGCCTCGCATGCTGGCATCCACCCTAGAGTGCCAAACTCCACGATGGGTGCACGCAATCCTTCCCTACAACAATACACACGAAACTTAGCGCTTTCTGGCTCATCCGCGACTGCGGCTGGAAACCTCGAAGATGTGCCCTGCTGAGATCATAGCGCTCTGGGCCGCCAGAAGGCCATCCATGAAAGAGGACGTAATGTTTGAAGAAAGTGCGGTCTCTTGCAAGTTGGGCATGCGAGGCGAGGCCTAATCTACAAGCTAAGCCTTTGATGAAACGTGTTCCCGCTTGGCTTCCGCGCAAGTTTCATTTCACGTCTTGCATCGCTGAGACCTACAGAATACGCTGCAACATGATCTTCATGAAGCAGCAGGAGCTGATACTGTGTCCTGTTTCCGAAACCTCAAAGCCTGCTTGAGCATCAAAGGAGCAAATGGCGCTTACAAAAGACGCTGGAAGCAGTTCGCAAGATCATCGCTCACGGCTCTTATGGACTTCAGCTGTCTTGCGCTTTACGATTTGAGGGAAGCCACAAACTCCTAAACCAACAAGGCCCGAATCCGCGTATAGCCATCTACACTCAAGCCCCAATGGCCCAAAGCTCGAAACAAGACTGTTCCAAACCAAGGGCTCCAGAGGGTCTGTTACGACCTTCCTTCCAGGACCCGAAAATCATCAGAGTCATTTCCGTAATTGCCTAGATGATCATCACAGTTTCCTCAGGATCACGAGTGTTGCGGAAGACGCATCATCTTAATGAATCGCCAAGCGAAGGGGCGTGTTTAAGATAAAAGGTGAACCGGATTCGTCAAATAAGGGGAGTTATGGCTATGGCCAACTTTGGAACAGGGGCATGGGCTTATGTATAGTTTTCGGGGCTTCCTAGTGATTGTTCCGCCTAACATTTAACATATACATTAGACATGAAAGTATATAAGATAAAAGTTATAAGTTCTAAATCTAAGTTGTACTGGTTCTTATCAATAAGAATGATAATTAACAGGTAATAAGATAATAATCACAGAACAAGTATTAAAACATAATATATAGGCTAGGCTGTAGGACTCTGGACTTTGGAATCTTTACACTGCAGCGGGTTTAGGGTTATTTAGGCTGCCTGCTTTTTGTTCTGCCGGGCCGCAATGTACAGGGCGGGTGCCGAGCAGCATGCCTAAAGCACCGACAAGCGGAGGCGAACCCACACACTCCGCTGCCGGGCCTCGGCGATTAGGACTGATGACTATGTCACTCTGTACTTTGTTATTCTATGCTATGTTATACTCCCAACCCTAAACCCTGAACCCTAAACCTTATGCTATCTTACAGTTGAATTGTACCTTTGTACTAAACCGATGTTGAGCCTAAGCCTAAGCCCCTCTACCCACTAAATCCCCAAATCCCGTAAACCCCTACAGCCCTAACCCTTACCACCCGATGTAGGCTCCAGGCACTAGTGTCAGCAAGAAGCGTACCGTGGTTGATAGATTCCTAGTAGTTAGTAGATACACCTTGAAGACATTCAGAGCCAGATCCCGCAATGTGCGGCAGAAAGGAGACCGTGCCCGGGTGGCTCCCATCCTGAGATGCTTCGAGGACGCTCGTGGGTTGCTTGGTTGGGCTTCCTGGGACACCTGAACCCCAAGCCCTTTCTGTCAGCTGGGTGGGCAGACTCTGCAGCCTTGAGTCCTACAACCCGAAGCCTTAAAACCCAAAAGCCTGGAAATCCCAATCCAAAATCCCTTAGACGCTAAATCCTACAGCCATGCACCCTGGCCCTAACACTCTATATGCCCATGCACGTGCTGCCATGAAGCCACGAACCGTAGATCGGATCGTACGACATACGATCCCTGCAACACGAAAGCAGAAGCTTCACAACCCTCAACCGTAAGATTTTGAATTTTGCGGTCCAAAAACTTTCTTATGTTTTAATAGTATAGCTCCCGTCGGCAGCTGTCAAGTTTGAAGGGCTGTGTTGGACGATTCCATATACAGGGCTTACCGTCTTGAGACTTCGGATTTCGGTAGCAGGGTTTGAAATACAATGAAGGTTAGGTTAGGATTTACAGTCAGGCTTTAGGGCCTATGCAGCCAAAATTGTGCTTGAGACCCATAAGGACATTTCCGGAGGGCCTTGAGAAACTTGCTTGAAACCTAATCCATATACTGCACATTCCACATGGAGCCACGGAATAGTTGACTTGGCACACCTTGAAGAGCGAACAACTGGCAGCTCAACCATGGGCCCCAAAAAAGGAACACCTTGCTGAACAACTTTCTTGCCTGTGGATTCCTGACTGAGACCCTCGAACGAGCCGTAAGTCCTGAACCCTACCACCTTACGTCCCCACCTTTCAAATCCCTGAACCCGAAATCCTGAAGTAACTGAATCCTATAGAAGATAGAAGCTCTATTTCCCACCCTATAGAGCCAAACCCAATAACAACCCTATAGAAACCCTACAAACCCCTAAAGCCTGTTCCGAATAGGAACCCTGTGAAACAGGCCTTTCGTGAACCGCAGAGAGTCCTCCAAAGCATCCGTTTTTGAACCCAGGCCCTGATCCTTAAACCCAAATCCTACACAGAAACGCTAAACCCTATAGAAAACCTACAAACGTCCTCATCACGAAGACGAAGACGAAGCCTGATGATCTTAGGACTTAGGCTTTCGGCTTGGGGTTTAGGAAGGTCTGTTTTTGAACGGGATGGCTTAGGGTTGTAGAGACTTTGGGTTGGAGTTGGGGGTTAGGATACTTCTATGTTTATGTAGGGTGGTTTGAGGTTTAGGGCCTCGGGGTTCGGGTCTTGGTGTGGTGTAAGGGGTTGATAAAAACATCCAAGGCGTCTCTCTAGGTTTACGTCGCAAAGAATCTTGTATGGTTAGGTTGAGCACAACTTCATTCATGCATGGGTTATAGAAAGCCTTGACAGAAGGGCTGTTCTAGGCAGCAGTACAAGCCCATGGGATTCGCAAAACGACCAACATGCAGGTGGCATCGAGCAAGCCTTCTGCCGAAGATGCAGTCCAGAAGGCCCAGAAGCTCTGGGGATGTGGGAAGTTTGAACGTGGTTGTGTTTTCATTGTGCAAGCCTCACTGAGGCAGGCTGCTGGAGAAAGGCCAATGCATTTCACAAAAAAAATTCTGGGGAAGAGGTCATGCAATATACCACCATGGCTCCCCGCAGTTCATGACACCTCCTCCATCACAACCACCACCGCATCAACAACCTCCACTGCCCTTCAACGCACGGCCAACCCAACAAGACTACGACGCGACTGCAAGAAGCAACGTGGACCCACCTGAATCCCCGCGAAAAGCTCGGTTTAGGGCTTAGGGTCTAGGGTTACGAACCACGAAGATTGATTGCTCCCGGAACACCCATAGCCTATTGCCGTAAGCCGTTTACCCTACCGCGAAGAGAGTGTCGAAGTCTTTGGTTTCGAGTTTGGGGCCCCCGAAGAAGTCACACCCATCCTTTTCTTCTTGGAGGCGTATAGATCTTATACTACAGCTTTGAAGTACGTAGTGCCTTAACCTCGCAAGCGGCTCACCGTACCAATAGCGATGCAGAGAGCTGGTATGCGTCAATGCAAACATGCCCCACTGGATGTGGTTGCAAGAAGAAGAAGCGGATTTACAACTTTGTCAACACATAGCTCGGCACGGTGAGTTTACAAGTTCAAAGAACCCCAGCCCAATCCAACTCAAAGGCAAAAGCACCACTGGCGTTTGTCCAACTGGCCTTTTAAACAACTTGCGGACCCAAGCTCCCAAAAGCAAAGCACACCCCAGGCGCCGGTGCCTTTTTGGGAGCCGCATCAGCATAGGTCCGCGAGGTGCTATCAGGCCTGACTGTTTCTGAAATGTTACAAAGCACCTGGCCTGGCACCGGAGACTATCTGTCATGGACTCCGGCACTGAGGAACATACCAGGGACTTAGATATAGGGTTGTTACTGGGCTTGGCTCTGTAGGGTGGGACATACGGCTTCTATCTTCTATAGGATTTACTTACTGCAGGATGTCGGGTTCAGGGATTTGACAGCTGGGGACGTAGGGTGGTAGGGTTCAGGACTTAGGGCTCGTTCGATGATTTCAGACAGGAATCCACAGGCAAGTTTTTCAAGGCCCTCAGGCCTTTCGATAAATCCAAACTCTCATCCCCAAACCTCCGTGCTCAACCCCTACAGCTCCAAGTAGCCCAAAAGTGGGTACCGTTTCTAGACTTTCGACATCAAAGTAAGCAATATATACCTATATTTGAAGTCTTCGGGAAACCCTAAACCCTTAAACCCTAAACCCTGAACCCCTTTAAAAGGCAGCACGAATTCGGGACCAGCCTTGAGGTGATCTTCCTGCACTTGTTGCTTTGGCTTCTGGGTTCAATCAAGATACTATAAAGGAATACCATAAGGGCTACTATAAGGGGATAGTACTAAGGGGTACTATATGGGATACTAAAAGGGTATGCAGAATCTGAAAACCAAGAATCCTGACAAAGCTCGGTTCCAGCAAGACGAATTGGTAGACTTCTCGATTTGTGTGAATCCCAGAATCCAGGGTCTCCAGTCTTACAAGCACAGTATCGGCTGCGCAGACCCTAAGCCTGACTGTAAATGCTAACCTAACCTTTTTTGTATTTCAAACCCTACTACCGAAATCCTAAGTCTTGAGACGGTAAGCCCTGTATATGGAATCGTCCAACACAGCCCTTCAAACTTGACAGCTGCCGACGGGAGCTATACTAATAATACATAATAAAGTTTTTGGGCTGTAGGATTGGATTTGAGGGTTGTGAAGCTTCTGCTTTCGTGTTGCAGGGATCGTATGTCGTACGATCTACGGTTCGTGGCTTCAGGGCAGCACGTGCATGGGCATATAGAGTCTATAGAGTGTTAGGGCCAGGGTGCATGGCTGTAGGATTTAGCATCTGAGGGTTTTTGGATTGGGATTTCCAGGCTTTTGGGTTTTAAGGCCTCGGGTTGTAGGACTCAAGGCTGCAGAGTCTGCCCACCCAGCTGACAGAAAGGGCTTGGGGTTCAGGTGTCCCAGGAAGCCCCAAACGACGTGGGAGGGTCAGGAGAAAGGCCAGGACACGCCCCTCCTACAAAGGTACAACACGTGAAGACCTTGTGTCCGACTAAACCGATGCAAACTCCCAAGGGCGCCACATGGAAGCCCATGTCAGTGAAAGAAGGCGCCATGCCTTCCGAGAGGCAAAAGCAACCCCGATTCGGAGGGGAGCTGGGTGTCATCAACTGGCACCCTGCATGCACCCAGAGTCCCAAAACAGGCATGGCATGTTGTGCACGAACTCGTCCGAGTTCAGACATCAGACCCTCCCTCGCTCGAACCCTCAAACCCAGGGGGTCATGCGTCAGGCCAATCCCGCCATGGTGCAGATTAGACCTTCCAGAGACCTGCGAGGTTGGGGCCGTTGGTGATGTCCTTCCCTTCTCGACAGACCCTCCGAACAAAACCTCTGGTATTGTGGTCAGCATCAGCAACAGCTAAGCTCACGCTTACGGCCTCCTTCATTTCACCACCTCTGGCAGCCAACGCCTTCCCACTTGCAGATCGGCATAGATCGGCTACGCATTTTCATGTTGCTGGTCTGAGGGACACGTGTACACACGGGGGTGTACAACTTCTTTGACATCCCGAAGCAAGCCTGGAATTGCTGATTTGGTGATGGCTTAGGCTTGAGACCTGTCAGCGTGAGTTCGGCTAGATGCCCTGCCACACAGTGCTGTACGCGAGACCCGACTCCTTCAATTAATCGCCAGGCAGAAGTCCGGAACCAAACCCCGGCCTCACACTGCGCACAGGCTTCGGCCTCGCCAACGGAGACTTCACGGCAATACGAGAATTAACTCCCAGTTCTACACATGAACGCAAGTCCTTTACGCGGCACATCAGGTCCTAGCCCTCGGCAACATGGCCAACATTTGCGCACTATGCATCCGCCATGTAAATGCTGACACTGCTACCTGGCGTTTTCTGTCGGCGAACCTCGCCCTCGGCCTGCTCCTTCGCCAGCTTCTTCAGAGTTTGCCCGTCTGCAAGAGTCCTGCACTCCTCGAGGGGGTCCACGTGAAATCTGCACCATGCCCTCCACTCCCACTCCGACCGACAAGCTCTCACAGGGTTCTTTTTGGGAAGATTCAGGGGTGGAACCTTTTCGAGTCACGCAGTGTGTAGAGAACTGGTTCCAAGAACCTCCACAGGTCTTCTACTTCGCCGAAACTTGTAGCAGCAATCCATGTAAACCTGCCTGGCTACCTGCGGCCCGCGGCATTGCATTTGAGCAGCCCACCCAAAACTAAAAACAACAGGAGCGCCGAAGAGGTCTATGTCAAGTCCCGACTCTGCCTCGGGAGTTGCCTCGCGTATCTGCCTAGGTCGGCCCGAGTGGGGATTTAGGCTTGCCAGCAGGTCGGTTGCAATGGAGATTGAAAATGCCTTGCCGGGCTTCTCCTGCTGAGCAGTACACAAAACTTGCATAGGCACTTGAGGGTGCGTGAAAACCACCCACCCGTTTACTTGACCATTAATCGGCTATCGTTCTTTTCCTGCTCTTATCGTTTACAGGACTTGGGATGACTTTGAGACTGTAGGATGTAGCGTATCTTCGTTATCGTGCTATTTTGCTCTTATCGTTTGACAACGAAATCGATTGCTCTCAACTTACGGACGCATCTGCTTAAAGACTGCTCTCATCGGGGGTTCTTATCATCCCTCACTTGCATGGTGAATGCTTGCCGTGGGAGGGTGTTTTGGTGGTCCCTGCGTGTCGAAGCGTGCAATCTTGGCACAGGGAGTTCAGGGTTGGGAAGTTCAGGCTCGCAATCACGTTGCGGTGTTGTGGAGATCCAGCATCCGTAACAGTGTGCAGAGAAAACACAGAACCAGGCCCAAAAAGTTGAGTCGGAGCCTCGATTTCGGAGCCCTCGTTCGGGCCGAGGGCTCAAATCGGTGCCTGGAAAGAAGCAAAAGTCACAAAGGCCGTGGCGATAGAAGGTGTCGGAGGTGGCGGTCAAACTCTCCTGCACCTGACCGTCTCAGCTTCGGTGGAATTCCAGTCAGTCGGCGTTCACCTACGGATCCTAAATGTCCAGGGCCTCAAAATGGAATTCGGAAACTCCTTTTCCTGAGCCTCATCTGGCCCATCCTCTCTGGGTGCCCGGGCGTCGGGCTGCGTCAGCGAGTATGGCCATCTCCTCTGTAAGCCTCCAAACTCGACACTTCGCTCCAAAATTCCTCTTCTCTACTCTTGAGCCAACAGCTCCCAGCCCGTCTATCCCGATGTGTTGACTTCTCAGGGACAACAATCCCGAAGAAAGGAAACCATTCTGCTTTCACCTGAGCTCCCGGCCTCTGGCACTCGTCCAAAGCAGCAGTTCTCTCCCATTCAAGGGCCTACGAGACAGCTCCAAAGGGCCAAGGACGAACAAAATCAAAACGCCACCGAGCCCTCACAGTACAGTCAAGTCCCATTGTAATTCGAGCAGCCGTTCTACCGGCCTCGTAGGCGTATTGGTCCTGTGCTCGCATGAGCTGTGTTAGGATCTCGTGGAAACTTGTTTGTGATCTCAGCTCTCAGACGCTCAACCGCAAAGACACAGGGTATGTCCTGAGCATCCAGAGATCCCCACCCAGGTCATACTCACTCACCTGACTCACCTCTCCGACGATATGCCTCGCTTCTCTGCTTCGGGCATGTGTTGTCGGGTTCTTCCCCCCTTGGACGACCCAGAACCGTCCGCACGCAACTGGGCAGTCTCCAAACTCGAGGCCATGCATCCTTAATTACAACTCTTGCAAATCTTGGTTGTCATGACCCCGATCCGTACGACAGCCGATTTTCCTTCCGACTATCATGCACATTATTGGTACATGTTACCATATGATTACCGCAGTCGCGCGAGTCCCAAACCCGGTCCTCCAGGAGCCTTCGGAACCCCAGGTCCGTGTCTTGGCCCTTTTTGCCCTGGAGTCCAGTTGAGGATATGGGTGTTCGTAGGCAACCTTTTAAATAGTACAATACAGTATACTAGCAATATAGTATAAGATAACAGCATAGCATAATATGGTAGAATATGGTAGAAGACTGTACCAGTGACATGAAAACTTAAAGCCTTAAGCTCCACGGGCACCATCCGGAACCGAAGATTGGCAGCGTTCCCCACCCTTCGACTTCTCGCCTTGGCCCGCTTCTTTAGCAGCGTCATCGCCTGACCACCCGCCACCCGCACGAAGAATGTGGCTTGCGTCTGGAACGACACTTCTCTGCCTACCACAGCTCTGAAACCGACAGCTTTCGGACATCGTGCATTGACCCCTCACCCGGCTCTGGCTGAGAGTCATTTTGCAGTCAGAAGAGAGAATAATAAAGGAGATGAAAGACACAGATAAGCCAGCTTGCGCACCCGCAACATGCAACCCTCAACCCTGGACCCCAGCGCGACCTGCAGCCTTTAGAGTTTTGAAGGTGCGATTGCCATAGGGCACCCAAGTCGACTTCGACGAGCTAATTAGACTACACCTGCCCTTCCAGCTCGATTCAACTGCAAGGCCTAGCTGCACCCCTTGCATTCTGGAACAGGATTTTACTCCCCCTCCCAAAGATGCCTCCTCGAACTCTCGGACGTGGCGGCCTGCCTTGGACTGCACCCCTCCGAGACATGCCGTTAAAAGATGTCATCTACATACCTATGACAGGACCCAGGCCTCGTGTCGCGCCAATCCGGGTGGTGCTGCGATGAAACTTTCCTGGCTTCTGAGGGTTTTGTTTTTCGGGGGTCTAGGAGTTCAGGGTGTAGGGCTAGGGTCTTAAGGCTTAAGGTTTCAGGGTTTAGGGGTTTGGGGTCCAGGTTTACATGCCTCAAGTGAATATCCGGGCAGGGCTATGAGAAAATGCCGAGATACCAGCAAGTGCCGTGCGTCCAACAAGTTGGCACTGAGATACTCGACCTGCAAAGGGGCAAGCATGAATATTTATGGTGATGAGGACCCGTGCAGTCAAAGCCGCTGTCGTGACCGATCATTCCGGTGTCAGTTGCCGGTGGGTGTGCTCAGTGCTATAAGCCTTGAGTTAGGATTTGATTCGCAAAGTGCATCAATTACCGATCCCAAGCGCACTTTGACCAGAGCTTGCCAGGAAACCCTCATTTGAAGGAGCCCAGCCCCGCGAAACCAATTGCAGGACGTACAGCCGACACCCTACGCCCATCTCCTTTGACAGCCCATACTGCAACCCTAAATAGTCAGGGGGCGGGGTGGGCTTAAAAAGACTGGTCGCGGGTGCGATGTCGCAGTACAACAAGCAGTGCTTGTTTAAGCTAACGATGCTAAACCGAAATTTGTTCCTGGAACTTTTATGTGGGTTGGGGCGGGAGAATGATTATGATCTGGGCGAATGCTAAACCCTAGCCTCAACCCCTGCCCTCTGTCTGCAAACCTGAAAACTTCCACCCAAGGCCACACTCGTGATAATCGTCATCATCATCATAAACATCATGAGCTGAATCACACTCTTCACAGTCTCATCACCATAATTAACAACTCCCCATAGCAGCCGATTAAAACCAGCAGCAACGACAACCAGCAACCCCCACCACCACCACCACCACCGCCGCAGTCGCAGCCGCCGCCAGCAGAAGAGCAAAAACAGCAACAACAAAAACATTCAACGTGCATCGCACATCTTGAGGACGGAGTGACAAACTAAGAACAGGCGAACACAACATCAACCAAAATGTATGTGTGCGTGTATGTGTAGTTGCGTGGGGGATTGATCTCGACTTGGTTGCTGCTCTCCCCACCAGAGCTGTAATGAATGTAGGTGTGGCTGGCTTGCACTCTCCACAGACTGGACCCTGTCTCTCCCTCTTACTTCCACACGTGCAATCCTATGCAGGCAGAACCGGCGGCCGTTCCTTTTGCACTCACTGCCGGCGGCGGTTCGTCTGTGCAACGGGATAGCTCTGATTGCTCAGGAAGAAGACACATATAGCACTTAGCTATGGGCATTGACTTGAGCCAAACGTTGCGTGGGCGGTCACATAGAAAGGTAAAGATGAGGGACGCGTAGCGTGCCCCCTTAGAGTCGAGGGACGCGTAGCGTGCCCCCTTATCTTGCACTTTACACGGTCTTGCTCACAGCTCTTATAGTGACACCTTAGAACTTGACAAGGCATCGCAGTCCGTTCGCACCCCCCATGAGTTGCGTCTCCGACGCTGCTCACCCGGAAGATGGCACGATAGGACAACAGAAAATGTTCCGCCGCAACGTTGACATTGAAAATCAGAGCTTTGCATCCCAATTAGAAACGTTGTGACACTCATCTACGTCAGTAACGATCCCCTGAAATGGCAAACGAATCAGGCGTCACCGAAGAAAGAAGCATTCGCGATGGCATTCCATGGGCGAAGCTCAGAGGTCACGAACTGATAGGCGAGGAAGACCAAGCGTTGATTCACCTCCATCTTCGCGTGGTCGCAGGATCGCGGTCCCAGGGCCGGAGGTTTTCCTCTGGATACTGTTCCCGATGCTTTCCCTTGTCCTTGCCTTTGTTTCGGCCTTTGCCGGCGGTGTAGTCGTAGTAGGAGTTGGAGTTCCAGCCTCCATGTTGCTCACCTCCGGTTCTCCCACGCCCTTTTGAAGGTCCCTTGGCCGAAGAAGCGCTTTCACGTTCCTCCGTAGTGACAGGCGTGTCCAGGATGGAAGTACCACCTGGAGGGAGATAGTCAGCGGCCGAAATGTGGTGTAGGGCTTCAGTACGCTTGGTCGTCGGGTTTTGCTGTCTCTCAACCTTGGATCTGTTCAATCTGTCCATGAAATGCGCAGGCATTTGCACATTGTGGTCCACCAGTAAGCCGATGGTCTGGACTGACTGATCAGAATGAGTCAGCAGGATACCGACGGGGTCGATGTACAAGAAGTCCACCGGTCCAGTTGGCGTTGGTCGTAGCACCGAGAATTGTTGGTGTCCCGTCACCATTGGAATCACCTCGCACAGGACGTTCAGGCAACAAAAGTGCATAGCCTTCACATCTTCATCCCTTTCGCTCTTCAAGTAAGTAGTAGGGTTGAAGTTGTCCCTGCCAATTTCCATCATGTTGGCTCCCCGTGTAAGTAAAGAAAGCATCTGGTTCGTCCGGAAGCGCTTCAAGGTGTAAGTCCCGTTGGGATCATACTGTTTGAGGTTCTCAGGTTCCTTGGCAACGCGAATGATCTCCTCATCAGTCACATCCTTGCTCACACCCGTTTCCCTATCCACTGCCGCCAAAGATCCCCACTTTCCAAGCACATCATAGCGTTGGCCAAGTGCGAAACTTTCCCTCATCTGAAACAACGGCATAGTCGCCCACTTTGCGAATCCTGACCAAGCCTTGTAGATGGATCTGCATACAACGTATGCCATGTACGAAAGAGCGGTCATGTTCGCGTCAATGCAATGGGCATTTCGCTTTCCAGAATAGTAGGATGGCTGCATGGCGGTGCGTGCAAGTTGTAGCTCAGGATCGATGTTCAAAGACTGGCCGGTAACGAAGACGGGACGACGTTCCTGTGCAATTGCTTCTGGTACTGCGTCATCAAAGTCCTCTCCTGGCTCTATGTCCATTTCTTCATCAGGTTCCTGTTCTGGATCGTCCTCCGCGATGACAGATGGTTCTGGGATTTCCTCAGGTTCCGCAACGGTCTCTACCTCCATGGCTTCCTGCTCCTCTTCGGGCGCCTCAGGCACTGCTGCTGCTGCGGCTTCCATTGTCTGAGCAATGAAGTCACTGGGGATCTCCGTAGGAGTCTCCCGTTGTGGAGAACCTTGGTAATATCCGCTCGAAACGAACTGTGACCAGCAAGACGTGCATCGGGAGAAACATGCTGGAACGATGTTGTAGCATGCCGGGCATACCCTCATTCTCCGTCCATCCTCGTCTCTGCGTAGGTCTTCGGGTCGCCAATTCTTGATGACAAACTTGATTCCTTTGTCCATGTAGTGATGCCGAACCGTGTTCTCCCTGTGGGACTCCAGGACAGTCGTGAGGTCTCGAATGATCTGCTCCTTGCTTGTGTCGTGGGGTCCAGGAGGCATCTCGCAAAGCAATTCCATGATCTTGCTTGGCGTTCGGTATCTCTCGAACTCAGAAGCAACGGTGATGCATTGTAGTCCAACACCAGCTCTTTCTCCAACCGTTCATCGTAGATCTTTTCCACCAGAGCGAAAGAGTGTGTATCTCGAGGATCCGGGACGCAAAACCATACCTCCTTGACGAAATGGAAAGGTATCGTTCGACCAACGATCACGATGCCGCTGTCTGTGATACGTCCATCCTCTCGTGCAAGGTCCTGCGATGGGACATGAAGGACCGCCAATGGCATGTGCTTGGCGTCTCGTCCATGTACTCGCATCTTGGTCGTTGCGTTCCGGTGATCGAAACGGCGCAAACACCCCCCAATAGCTGTGGAGTCTGCCACCTTGGTTGCCTCGGAATTGGCGCCTATGGTCGAAGTCCCCGTCGGGGTCCTCCGAACCAGGCATGATGCCTTGCGTGACAATGGAATCCAAGTTGCGGCATGCCGTAGCGTGGAACGCACCTCCAAGACGTTGCAAGAGGGTCATAGATGGAGATATTGCGAACCTGTTCTTGTCCAACTGAAGCAAGTTGTTCTGGGGATCTGAGTGCGCAGAGTGACCACTCGTAGCCCGAACTGCCCATGGCTTCACCCAGCCGTTGCACATGTTCAGGTACCTCTGGCCGTGCCGGCAATGATCATTGTTCTGGATCTCCGTGATCTGGTCCTGAACCGATACCAACCTGTTCGAACCCGCTGATCCAAGAGTTTCCGTGCCGGGGTCCTTCACTCTCACACCCAGGAACTGCAACCGAATCTTGGCCTTGTGGCGTTTCGTGGCTGCAATCATGTTCCCTTGGAACAATAGCTGAAGTCTTTCATTGTACACTCTCTTCTTCTGTTGCTCATCGGTCCTTGAGACCGCTTCGGTGATGCGTCTGCTTTCATGGGTCCATAGTGGCTCATGCCTCACCAAATCTTCGATCATCACCCACCCTCCTTCATCACATTTGATGACACTGTTGAATGCCACCTGGCACCTGTTGTCAAGCCATTCCGAGCCTGGGCGCCTGGCGATTCTGTGGCGCAGGTCAGATTGGATGCATGATAGCGCCCAATCCGCGTTCAGTCTGCGCTGACGGGTGATGTCGCGAAGGACAACTTCGTTCACGAGGTCCCATCGATTGTTGATGAAGCTTGCACCCTTGGTTGGGATCAGGTCGAGAATCCCGCACCGGATTGGCCTTCCGCCGCCGATGGATTCGTAGCCTGCATTGGTGTAGCTATGAGTGGTATCATCGTAAGCAAAGCTAGGACGGTCTCCTCGTTGAGGTAGGCGTCGGTCGCGATGGTCCGAAAGCTGCTCAATGAGGTCCACCACTCGCTGGCTATTCTCTGGTCCCGATTCCTGCAGTGGTACGCCACAAGCATCATGTAGGCCCCGACGGTTCTCCACATCCGTGCAGAGATTGTGTTTGTTCTCATAACGGATCAAGACCACATCACCCCGTACGGCTTCGCCTCCGCGTCGCGGTCGGGCTTTGGCCTTGGGTCGTCGGTCCGAGGATGCAACACTCACATG